ATAAAACTAACCACAACAGTGGGAACTCCTACAAATCATAATGAAAAAGAAGCTGCCCTAATACTACAATTTGTGGGAGTGAATCGTACCAGGACTGAAATAAGCAGCTAAAAAAATCTTTTAACCCTAACTATATTTATTTCTTAACTAAACGACAGACACGAAAAAGTGTTATTCTCGTTCATATAACCTATAAAACTACTGAGTAGGCGTAAGACATATGCCACACAATAGTATATTGTATAACCCAGCAGCCTAAAGATGTGAAAAATTTAAAATATGGAAAACAAAAACACAACAAAAGAAGGGGATGCTCCTAAAGACCATGACTCTTACAGTAGAAAGAAGTATCTAAGGTGCAAGTCACAATAAATCCGGATGAGTACACCTGGTTGTTAATGACCTTTGATCTTCTAAGCTGTCTAAAGTACTACTCGCTAGATGCAGTGCGCGATAATGGACAACAATTATATCTAACTTTCACAACTTAATGCAACGAAAAACTAACAGCAAGAGCCCTCAGTGGACCGAAAATACATGGGGCAAAATATTTAGATAAGGACAGTCAAAAACGCCATGACACAAAAACACATGCACATAGTAGAAATTGAATAAACAACAGCGAACTCGAATTTATTTATTTTTTAGAGTAAGCTGCATTGATTATTTATCACAAACAAAAGACTTAAGACTATGATCTTTTTCAATTATTTTTCGTAATTCTCAAATAAGCTTTACAGTAAAGTATATTGTTGAAATTATCCTTACGTCCTAGATTTTTCGATACTAAATAGTACAAAACGTCAAATCAAATAGCACATTTAGATGTCAACGTTTACGTTCTATAAAGATCATAACATATACCATAATGTTTAAGTTTATAATTGTGTGAAAATGGTGTTAATCGGAAATGCAATGCAGCAGAATGAAAGTAATACGATGTCCTCTGATGCTCGGTAATAATACGAGTAATTAAGTTTAAAAAAAACTGTAGATAACTTTTTTATGAATAAAATAAGCTTTTTATCTTGCCGTTCTACAGGTGGATGAAAATTTTACCAGTCAATTAATATAAATAATAATTTCGTTAATTTTTTAATTATTTAAAAGTTTCATGGTACGCTCTTATAGCCAGTCACATATTATGACATAATATAATTGGAAATAAAACATAAGAATTAAAGGATGATAAAAATTTAACTCATAAGTGCTCTTCAAAAATTAGAAAAACCTTTTCTGGATCCATGAATATACGTAAGGATAATGTTAAATTGTATTGACAAAAAATTTGTCAGTATTCATTTTAAAATAGTAATGTACAATTCAGTGTAACAAATTTACTGTAAACCAGTTATTTGTGAAGAACAAAAGCAGCACGATTGGTAATTCTAGTTATTGTAAGGTTCATACATTATTCAAAGCGACTTTAATTTACAAGCTATAATAGAATATACAATAGCGTTAATCGATTTACGGTTACGGACGTACTCACTTTTTACTTATACAAATATGATAAAAGAAAACTGTATGCAATTAAAAATTGTACTTACTTAGTTCATGATCATTTTCTTCCTCTCGTACAGATGCTTCTGATTCAAAATAAAAAAAATTTACTTACATAATCAGCGTTAATATTCTTTCAAGTACTTATATCCTTGTTTTAATTTCGTAACTCAACGATATTTTTAAGTAAAACTACTCTAGCAAGCGAGTTGTAGATCATTTTCCATTTCCTATCTAACATTACTTTGTAAAATATATTTTCCACTAGCATAATTTGGTCACAATGAACTGAAACTTTCACTTCCGAAACACACAGCCTTACTTATAATCACATTGAAAAATTCCCCATATGAAATCACAAACTGCATCGTAAAATGTAATTTTTATGCACTTATTTTTAAAAAAGTTATGTCCACAAATACTCCTCAATAACTAAACTTCAAACAGTAGCTACTGATTCAAAAACACCAAGGACGATGTATCAAGAATACACACCATAGTCCGTTTTGAATTCAGACTACGTATGGTAAGCAAACCGAGTGCAGTGTTTTGGTGTTTTTAAGTATAAAAAACAGTATTATGTGCACAAAGTTGATTGCATTCCAAAATGCCCGTATACGGCAAAGTTTATGCAAAAATGATAAATATAACGAACGAAAAAATAAGTGTACCAATACCAGAATTAGAGTTTATAGAATGCGAAACTGCGCGAAGGGCAGAACCATTTGGCATCGAAGAGGACCGCTACAGGCTTGAAAAAAGTGATGATAGAACTTTTCAATTTAGAATTGAGCGAGAATTAAAAAAAAAAGCAGGAAAAAACCATACCGAATTAGTACATGCTCAAGAAAATGAACGTTAAGCAAAGGGGGGGGGGGGCAAAAAAAATTAAAGCGATAAGAAGGCACAACATACTAGCCAAAAAGTAAACATGCGAGCACGGATTGAAAAAATAATGAAACTTGTCGACTCATCGAGCTGCAACGAAGAAGGAATAAGGCATGTACGAGAACTAATAGAATTTAACCCGCTCGTATTTTGCCTGGAGAGCGAACCGCTAAAGGCAACTAATTTATTAAAACACAGGATACAAACAACAAAAGACAGACCCATAACTGAAAAAAGGGCCAGAAACTCTGTAAAATTAAGGGAGCAAATACAGACAGAACTGGACAAATTATTAAACGAAGGTATAATCGAGCCATCAAAACTGTCATTTCGCTCTAACACATGAATCATGCCCAAAAATGCAATACCAAATGGAGAAAAACGATGGAGAGTGGTCACAGATTATAGGCTATTCAATAAAGTGGGGATGGGCCCATGCTGCCCATTACCATTTCAATATAAAATTCCAGAAAATTTGACGGCTGCGCGATACACAACGGTAATCAACTTAAAGAGAGGATTTTTCCAGGTAGAAATACTCGAGGATGACGCATACAAGACCACATTCTCGGGCCCAAAAGGGCAGTACCTACATAAAAGAATGACAATGTAATGATACGATTCTCCAAATGCCCTCATACAAGTGATTATACTAGTACTCGCAGGGCTGCAGGGCCACGAAATTGAAATATATGAGCAATTCCACGTTTAATGTGCACTTGGAGTCCCCAGTTGTTGAAACGAGTAGAATTTAAGAAAAAGCTAAAAAAAAGTTAGTCTTTTTCTACTTGTCCCAAATTCAAAAAATTTTTTAAGTTTTTGGATGTGTGAGAAAGAAAAAAATCGTATCCCGTAGGTGTGCCTTAAATTTTACTTTTTTTAAAAACTGGGGATTCTTAAGTGTACATTAAACGTGGAATTGCTCATATATAAATGATATTATGGTGTTTGGAGAAAACCTGGAACAGCATGGCATTCGGTTTAGAAGACTGTTGCCAGGGCTAGCGGATGAGAATTTAACGATAAAGCCAAAGAAATGCACATTTCTCAAGTGGGAGGCAAAAGTACTGGGACATATTGTTAGGAACTGAAAAATAAAGACGAACCCACAGACAAATGAGGCTGTAAAAGAATTCTTAATACATACAATAAAAAAAAAAAAACAATTTTTCGGGCTCTTGGGATACTATAGACAGTTCATAAGAAACTATGCAAAAATAGCCCAACCACTTTTAAAACTGACAAGGAAAACTATTGATTTTAAATGGGGAGAAAAAGAGGAATAGGTACTTGTATAACTAAAACATCCTTTATGTAGCAAGCCAGTGCTTACAGCCCCAGACATGAGTAAACTATTTATAGTAACAACCGATGCATCCGCCATCGGAGCAATTTAAAGTCAAGGAAAAAGAGATACAGATCACCCTTGTAAATACGCGTCCAAATGTTTGAAAGGCAGAAAACTACGATATTCAACAGACGATAAAGAAATGTTGGCGATAGTGTCCACCAAATAGCAATTCAGACCTTATTTGATTGGTCGCAAATTTACAGTTCATGAAGAATCAGAATACTTAAACAATCGAGCAAAAATAAAAATCTGGTGTTACGAAATTTAGTGAAAACTAGTGATACTAATGCCACATCACTTTTAATTTAAAAATATTAAAAAATAGTATTATTAAAGCAGAAACGTTAACTATTAAATGTGAATTATTGAGAATTATGGTTAAGACTGTGAACCATCATTAAATAAACACAACGTTCTTTATAGAATAACTTTAACGGTAATCTACTGCTCAAAGCACAATTGGAAGTAGCTTTAAAATTTGGCGTCGTAATAAGCAATAAACATCATAGAGGCGCATATTAAATTAATATTCAAAATTTGATGATTTTTTTCAAATTCACGTGTCACAGACACACAGGAGTAGAAGAGAAAAAAGTTATGAGAATTTTTCTGGAAAAATCAAGTACAAAATTTTTTAATGTTAACAGGGCCCTCTACATAAAGGATGCCTATGACCCTTTAAAATTGGTAAGTTTGCGGTAGCCATTAAAAATAAGAACACTTTCTTTTTTTTCATCATAAAAATCACACTAGGTTTCTCTTCAACTACTAGATTTTTTCAAAGAAAAAAATTGAAAATATTTTAGTAAATTTGGTCTAAACAGATTTGTCGTTTATTCTGGAGTTACAGGGAATTTCGTGACGATTTTCATTATACTACTTATTATAGTAAAAATCTTTTTTGTAAGAATTTCCACGAGAACATGATGGACAACCTAGGCACTTTTTCAATGATAGTGAAATTGTTAATATAAAAATTAAAAATAACAATTTTTAAGATAACTGAATTTGTCGTGCTACACACTGCACTTATAATTTTATAGCTGTTTGTACATTTATTTTAAGTCAGTTTTAATATTGTTACGAAAGTAAAATAACATATTTCAAACTTAGTAAGGACTACGAAGATATATTTTTTCATTGTAAACTTTTAAGCATTTAAATTTGAAGTAGATAAGTATAAAATCTACATCGATTTGTCTACTAAAGAAACTTACTAATGGTAGGACGGCTTTTCGCCACTCAATATACTACTTACCTAAGTTGTTGTAATTAATTTTATCGGTAGAATATCTAGCACTCATGAGATTATGAGAAGTATTTTGGATTGATGTAGAACAATAAGAGTTTCGAGATGCCGATGTCGTGTTAGAGAAATTGCAATGATTTGTCACTTGACACTCATTATCTGAGCATCTTCTAATTTTAAAGATCGAATGTGCTCCAGTTTTAAAGTCAAAGGTAACAGCAAGAGATGGTTCATCACTAGTGAAAATTATACTGACATTTGGCCCACAAACTGACATAATACTCCCTGAAATAAAGTAATAATCATACGTATATTAATGAATCTTAAAACTTTTAGATAAGTATTTTTATCAACACAATAAATAAGCTTGACCTACATAGAATTTAAAAATAAAAATAAAAATTTAATTCATGTACAACTACAAGAATTATGAGCATAATTTTAATGCAAGATAATCAGTGCTGAAAATTTCAAGCGTACAAAAAATTTTTACGTGGGCTCAAAGTTGGCACATATTTATTTTAAAAGTCACGGCACTGCATTTGTTTGCACTAGCATCGTTAACAAAGACAAAAGAAAGAAAAAGAAAAAAAAAAAAAAAAGTCCAGCCAGTTCTGGAGAAATGTGCTGCTGGTACGTAGAAGGGACGGAAACTTGGCTATATTTTAACTAAAGTCAAAAGAAAACTCTTTTGTACATTTGTTAAGACATTAAATAAAACTTAAATTTTAAGAAAAAAAACGATTTTAAAAAAAGGAACAATTTTTTTTGGAGAAAGAACTTTCATGAAACAATCAGTGAAACGAATTAACTTTTTCACAAATAATTTATTCAATATTTATAGGAAAAACAAATCACTCGTAAGGCTATGCACTATGATGGTTACCTGCGTGAATTAAGAAACAGCTTATCCTATGGAACACTAAATCTGGATAAAAAATAATTTTAAAAATTTTGTTACACTGCCATCAATATTAATTATAACATTATTTTAAAGTTGTTAAAAATAAATCAAACGTCAGATTTAAAAAACGAGAAATAGCGGATATCCGAATGAAAGCCAACATAGAAAAGAATGTTAAGCTTTCATAAAGAATCCTTTAAGCCACTTATTATTAACTTATGAGAGGATTCACTTCAATAAATATACCAAACTCAATATGGCAGGCAATTTCAGAAAATAGTATTTTGCAACTCAGAATTATGGATTAGCCAAGTGCCACGTAGCTACAGTCCTGTCTGTCAGGTACGGTTTGAAATTATTTTTATCTACAGTAGTAAACACTTGATCAATACAAAGTGCATATGTAATTTATACTGTTCATCTTTTACAAATTAACAAGTAATCCGATTACACCTTTACCTACAAATGTATTACGTTATTAAAGTCAACTTCAACGTGGTTGAATCTATAACTTACAAACTATAAATAAAAATTCAGAAAGCGAAGGGAAAAACTGAATTTACATGATAAGAAAAAGCTTTAATCAGACGTATTAGGTCAATACTTTAGGAACCTCAGTCTCAGACGAACTTAACTAAAACTTATTTACATGCTATTTAATAATAACACTGCATCGTGAAAGTAATATAAATCATAAGAGTGATAAAGAAAGGAAACAGAAAGCAACTTAACGTAATACATTAAAATGTAGCACATAATATTATAAGTTTTGTGTATTAAAACAGTGTATTTTGATTTGAAAAAAACAAAGACCTTTCTGCCCTGTAATTTTCCTAGTTTTTTCTTTTTGCTCCGAACTTTCGAATTTAAGCCATATGTACGAGAAACAACTATGTTGCACGTAATAAGTTAACATTATACTACATATAATGAATTTTTTGAGAAAACGTAGGGATTTAAAAGAGTTTTGATCAAAAAATCTTTTATTACGTGACGACTTGCATAATTAGTTTTCTCCTTCTCAATAGTAAAATTTAAAGGCTCTTAAAAGAGTCATTCTTAACAAAAGCCGTTCCCTCACATCGCTGACTGTGGACTTCATGGCTCTCAGAAATGTCAAAAGATAACAGAAGCAAGCTGCTAAGCCTTAACACATGTAGTCAGCAAGTATCGGTCCCATAGTATATAAGACAAAGAAGTTTTCATTATAACTTCGGGAAAGGTACATTTCTTCGCACAGCATTTTAGTCAATAGCTTTCCACCACTTATCGAATATGGACTACTTGATTAATTTTGACAAGTGTGCAACTTATACAATTCATTTTGAGTAGCTCATCAAGTATGCTACTTGAACAACTTTATTATACGTAGCTTTATATTTTCTTCATAATACTGATAAAAATGTTATAAAGGCTAAATAAAGATACAAAAAATAGAGGTTCAATTCTAAAAAATAGTAGCAAGATTGCATCTGACAAATTAGTGATAAAATAAAAATATACAAAATATACAAGGATATTAGTTATAATATTGCAAGGAAAGATACGAAAAAAAAATCTCAACAATAAAATAACAAACGAAAAATAAGGTGAATTAATTTAACATTCCTTAATACCTTAATACAATCATTCTCTCTCTTTTTATCTCTCTTTCTTTCTCTCTTTATCTTTCTTTACCAGTAAATAACCGACGGATTAGACTGTCTGCTGGTCCCACAGCCTATAAAGAAGTGTGGGACTGAAATCCGTAACCTTCAGTTTTACATTGAAGGCAAAGTTAAATAATAGTAATAATCATTGAACAAAAATAGTTGCAGAGCGTGGTTCTGGTCTTTAGTTATTTGTTTGTTTATTCTATGTTCTATTATTTTTTTTTTTAAACAATAAACCCAATGTAAAAAAGTATGTTAATGAAAGACGTGAAACTCCTCATTTAGTGAAGTGTGTGTAGATGTGTACATGCTATGCCTTTGTGGAAAGCATAGTGTATACAGTATTTTGTTATAATTAAAAAATAGATATAATAATACATCAACAAATTAACGAGCAAATAAACCACAAAAGTTAACTGTGATAAAAATGGAAGAAAACGAACGGGATAACGTTGTGTATAACATAATAGTACAAAAATAAGAATGAGTAATCTCTTACATTACACGTATAGGTACACACCGTTCCATCAGATCAACCAACTAAAGCGATATTTTAACTCCTACCTTGAATCTACTTATCGAAACGAGTCGTTTGCTTAGTGCTACTTTAATAGCAGACATATTTAATTCGAGATCTGCTTATTAAAACGATCATTTCCTAAGTAACAATAATACAATAACATAGTAACTAAACAAAAAAACAAATATTTAAAGATTTGAATCAGAAATAAAACCAGCACATGAATTCTTTGATATGGATGAGAAACAAAAAAAACGAAAGAAGTGAAAAAAACTTTACTTACAAAAACAATTAGCCGAGAAAATTTATTTGGAAAAATAATAAGATGCCATTAATAACCAATTAAAACATTAATATAATTCTTATGAAGCAAACACTAATTTATCGATAAAAACAAATTTGAAACACAAGTCGTATGTTTTCTGTAAAATAATAATCTTTACAATTCAGAAACTAACGTTCAGCAGAAATTCAATAATTTAAAAATTTAATTAAATACAAGATTTGAAAAATGAATTGTTTTCGCAGAAAAACAGTTTCTTAAAGGCTCCCAAGAACGTGCAAATGCATAGGCAGAAAAATAGGCACAAACAAACAAAAATATGTAATTTATTATTATAGTATTCAAGCCTAGACCATCGTGCTCCTTCCTAATCTAAAGAAGAAAAAGTGTTAAGTCATTTGTTACATACTCTCTTTCTCTTTGTGCACAGGGAGCCTTCAATCCTACACCACACACTAGATGATGCTCGCGTGGCAATTTCGATATACAGCCGCACATGCCATGTTCGAAATCCTGGCACCGTATACCATGATATAAAAATACAAGGTGTGGCGTTCTGAGGTCTCATTTTCATGCCGTTCTGCGCCTCCCATCACGACGCCATATTTGAGAGAGATGTGACTACTACAGCACCGAAGAGCCTATACAAAGAAACGAAGTAGCCAAAGTTGCAACTAAAACCTATCCCCCGCATCCACCTCGAAGTGAGACATATGTACAGATATAGACATCCATATGAATATACATGTACGTCAAATGATGAATGATTACCTATTTAGTCAGTTTTTTCTGTGTTAATATTCATGAATTATGCGTTTGGTCACAGAAACAACTGGAATGAAAATATTGAAATAAAAAATATATATTGTTTCACGAGTTTCTTGATGTAAATATGCTTTATATTTTAAAAGCTTTTGAAATTCGCAGACAGACATGGCAGCGCGATGGAAGCGTTCCTGATTGGTCAATCAAAATAGATGCGCAACGCCACACCTTATATTTTTACATCATGCCGTATACTTTCTTCTTAGCCTAAAGCAAAGGGTACTATATATGCGCGTTTGATTGCACTCTCTTACTTTAGCTTCTGGATATCATACATAGTAAATGGTGTAAGCTTATCGTTCAGTCAGCAGGCGTACACCTATAAAATGTACTGCACCTTTATTGTTCATGCATGCACCAAATAAATATTCACACTAGAGATGTACACATATATATTGGCACACGCACATCAAAAAGAAGAATATTTTTCTCTATTATCTATAACTAATTGAGCGCGCGGTGGCTCGGTCGGCTAGGTCGCGGATTGGCAAGCAGGAGACCGTGGTTCGATTCCCGGCCAGTGGGACTTTCGGGCAAGTACCTCTGTGACTCTCACATGTCCTTTTTCACCACGCAATGCTCCTCGAGGAGGGTTTAGGCGACCTTCTCGCAGCAAAAATTGCCTGATTTCCCCCTACCCCCCCTCCCAGTAATGGGAGGCCTCCCATCCCATTCCTTGTCCCTTTCCCAAGTGCTAAGTGCCCATAGTAGTGCCCTTATTAAAAGGAGTCGGACGTAGAGCAATATTAAAAAAAAAAAAGAATCTATAACTAATTATAAATATCATGTCAAATGCATGATCGTCGTTATAATGTATATATCTATATACATATTTGTATATATTTCTTTGTTCCTTGTGTCTTTTATGACACATGGCAAGGATCTAATAAAATGTTTTTCTAAAATAAATAAATAACGTAAAATAATAATGTGATTATAACTTTTTTTACCCTTCTTGAACACAAATAATTCTAATTAAAGAAAAAAAAAGTAGTCAAAGCCCTCTAAATTGTATTTAAATATTACACACGCAGATAGAATTTAGTATAAAAATATGAATAAGAAAAAAAAAGAAAGAAACATGCACGCAAAATAAATCAT